AAAAAAAAAAAAAAGGCTTTCTCAGGAGTAAATAAGCACCCTGCTCCCCATCTGAGCTTCTGGTGAGATGTCACAGGTGAGGGTACTCTGGAAAGTGTCCTGTGGGGCCTAGACACAATGTCCCTGTCCTCACTCTGTGGAGTCCATGTCCCAAACCAACTTATGCTTAAGGCTGAGCATAGTGGACACAGACATTGCGACTGGTCTCCTATTTTGACATCAGCATCTTCTGCATTTCCTTAGGGAGTGTCAGTCCACTGAGCTTTCTGTTTAGGCTAAGGACCTGGACAATAGTAACCACAATAAGGTGGTCCTGCCACCCCATGTGGTCCCACCTGAAGGGTCCTCCCATGGGACACCTCTAAGCAATCACTGTCCAGGCAGGGAAATTTCATACTCACCAGCACAGAATAAAGAGAAGAAAAAAAGTAGTACAGGCGCTTGGCAGGGATGTCGGACTTCTTGTTAGCATTGCAGAGCCACTGCAAAGCAGAAATGCTAAAAAAAAGAAAAGGAAGGAAAGGAGCTGGTCAGGAGAGGGACCAAGTACATGGCCCCCTCCAGCCTCTTCAAGCCTAACAGCTACATCCTTGATGTCCAAGTGAAACCCTCCTGCCAGGAACTTCCTGGGCATGTGCAGGTCCACTCTGGGTCACGATTCTACCATACTGGCCCAAACCCAGGTCAGCATTAACTTCCTTGCAGCCAGCCCCAAGGAACATTTTTTCCATCTTATTTCTACAGGCTTCTCAAATCTAAGATTACTAAGCATGTGGAGGCTCCCTCTGCCCCTACCCCTTCACTCCCTCCCTCCAATCAAGAGAAGCTCCTTTTACTATACTTACACAAAGCCATCCTCACTCTCCTCCTAAACCAGCTCCCAGACAGAACACCTCCAGCACCCAGCATATCCTTTTCTGGCTTCACCTCCTCTCTGCTCTACACCCACCCACAGAAGCCCAGGCCCCAGTGGCTCCTCCAACTTTTACTCTCCTAGGTCAGCACTCAGTACCACTTCAATAGTTCAGCAACCTCATTTCCCCCTCTTCTCTCACTTCCCTCAATCTTCCTGAAACACGATCTGACCTTGCCCCAGCCAGCTCCCCACCAACCACCCACAAAGTGAAAAGCCTTCCAAGAACAATCCCACACGATCTCATCTTCTGAGCAATCTCTCACTCACCCCATGACCCATCAGACTGCTCTCCCTACCCACTTTCTGTCTTCTGTCTTTGCTCACCCTGTTCCTTCACGTGGAAACCTCCTCCTTGACCATCCAAATCCTCCCCACCTTCGAGGCCCAGCCCCAGCCTCTCCTGTGCTCACCTGGGTCCCCTGACTCCCTAAGTCACACCCCACACTCGGACTCATGTGTACTTGGCTGGTCTCTGTCTCATAGCCCCTAATTTACCATGGAGTCTTAAAGACAGGGACTGCGTTTTGTTTCCATAAACTCCACAGCACCTTGTACAGTCTTACATATAACCAACATTTAAAAATAAAAACTCACCATAGGGTCTCTCAAACACAAACGACCGTCTGCTCCTAAAACACAACAGCCACATCCCTGGCTTTGGCTTTCTGCGGTATAGAACATCCTACCCAATTACTAAAATGCAATTGCTATCCTTGACATCTTTCTTCCCAATCCTGTTCCCAGATGTAAACTAATCCCTTGCCCTAAAAGAAAACCTCAGACCCGTGTTTTTACTATTCACCCAGATCCCTCCTGCTTAACCTGCAGTCACAGGAGGTCGTCTCCCCTGTACCACTCACACCTTCCTCTGCCCCAAAACACACTACACCGCTCAGCACTTACCACAGAAAACCCAGCACAACTTCATTGTCTCAATAATAACTTTGATGTTTGAAGACCTGTTACCAAAGGGCTACGTACACCCTCAAAACTCAACTCTGATAACCCAGAAAGGACCCCCAAAACACTAAGAAACTATAGCAATCCAGACCACTCTGTTAATTCTTCAAAAAGGTAAAAACATGGCTGCTGGGACCCTCAACATGGCTGCCAGGGCCCACAAGATGGCTTTTAGAGGCTCAGAAGGCCTCTCCCACCCGCAATGGAATCTAGACCAAAGGGTGCCTGAACCAGGCAGCACAAGAGAAGAGAAGGAGTATGTAGTTTAGAAACAAACAAAAAAATTTGTTTCTGGGGCCCTTGCTCTAACCTTGTAAATCTGAAAATCCCAGGAGACACGTTTTTAAGTATCTGCACAGCCAGGTGCACTGGCCTGCAGGACTAAAGCAGGATTAAGACTTACCTGATACAACCATCAAAGGTGCCTGGTTTGAAGGGGAGGCCCTGGCCCATGTCCCCAAGAAGTAGGTCTCCCTCCATCTCTCGGTCCAAGGCTGCGTCTACAGCAGGTTGTGAAAAAAACACGATTATGTGGCTTCTTGTGCCAGTGAGGGGAGCCACCCACCCAGCACTGAACCAGAAATACTCACCCAGCATGGCGGGGCTGATGTCGACACCCACCCAATAGTGCCCTTCACACGAGAGACAGTCTCCACTCAGCCCAGAACCACAACTGGAAAACAAATGAACAGGGGCTCAACCATGAGATCAGCAAAGACACCACCACCTCAGCAATGGGAACTGGGCCCCAGCCACTCACCCAATATCCAACAGGTAACAGGGCTGGCCCTCAGGCAGACAGAGGAGCTCCAGCGCACGCCCAGCCATCCTGGTCTGAACTTCAATCATCCGTGAGCTGCGAAGGCACAAACACAAGCGCACGGTCAGCATCCTGGGCCACAATCTCCCCAGAGCAAAAGAAAGGAGAACAATCCCAAGGTGGGCTCCCAGCCATCAAGCTCAGCTATGACTATTTAAAAATGACCCCCAAAGCTCACGCAGTACAGTGACAAATTATTCTGTGGCACAAATTTTAACTATACCAGCTGCAAAGCTAACATGAAGGAAGCCAATTCACTCAGCTAATGACCGGCCACTGGGTATTTCCAACTCAATCAGGCTTTGATACGGCATTACCCAAGAACAAGTTTTCCAGAAAAATTATCCACGTTACTCAGACATGTAAGGACCAACAAGGCACAACAAAAATCTAAGCTCAAACAAACAAACAGGTACAAACTTCCAGCTGTAAGTCACAGGGATGAAAATACAGCACAGGGAACACAGTCAATACTGCAATAGCTTTGTATGTTAAAAAAAAAATCTATAGCAATACTGTCCGTGAGAAATAAAACAAGCCACACATGACTTTCTACTAACCACTGTTAAAATAATAAGCACGTGGTTGACATCCAAAATATATAAAGAGCTCAAGCACCTCAACAAACAAAAAGCAAATAATCCAATTAAAAAATGGGCAGAAGAGCTGAACAGTTCTCCAAAGAAGAAATTCAGATGGCCAACAAACACATGAAAAGATGCTCCACATGGCTAGTCATCAGAGAAATGCAAATTAAAACCACAATGAGATATCACCTCACACCAGTAAGGACTGCCACCATCCAAAAGACAAACAACAAATGTTGGTGAGGATGTGGAAAAAGGGGAACCCTCCTACACTGCTGGTGGGAATGTAAATTAGTTCAACCATTGTGGAAAGCAGTATGGAGGTTCCTCAAAAAGCTCAAACTACAAATACCATTTGACCCAGGAATTCCACTTCTAGGAATTTACCCTAAGAATGCAGCAGCCCAGTTTGAAAAAGACAGATGCACCCCTATGTTTATCGCTGCACTATTTAATTTAAAATAGCCAAGAAATGGAAGCAACCTAAGTGTCCATCAGTACATGAATGGATAAGGAAGATGTGGTACATATACACAATGGAATATTATTCAGCCATAAGAAGAAAACAAATCCTACCATTTGCAACAACATGGATGGAGCTAGAGGGTATTATGCTCAGTGAAATAAGCCAGGCGGAGAAAGACAAGTACCAAATGATTTCACTCATATGTGGAGTATAAGAACAAAGAAAAACTGAAGGAACAAAACAGCAGCAGAATCACAGAACCCAAGAATGGACTAACAGTTACCAAAGGGAAAGGGACTGGGGAGGATGGGTGGGAAGGGAGGGATAAGGGGGGGGGGGGAAGAAAGGGGGCATATGATTAGCATGTATAATGTGTGTGGGGGGGCACAGGGAGGGCTGTGCAACACAGAGAAGACAAGTAGTGATTCTATAGCATCTTACTACACTGATGGACAGTGACTGTAATGGGGTTTGTGGGAGGGACTTCGTGAGGGGGGGAGTCTAGTAAACGTAATGTTCTTCATCTAATTGTAGATTAATGATACCGAAAAAAAAATAGTAAGCACATAAAATTAACTGTAATAACAGCTTACCCAACCCTCTGTATCCTACCTAATAATGTATCTTACTTAACCCAATATGCTCTAAATATCAACACACATACAAAAAAGTATAAATAAAACATCTACATTTTCTTCATACCAAGAAGTTGAGACTAAACATGTTTCAATAGATGACTGACAACCATCGGTTACCATATAAAGGTAATATAAAGCCAGTGTATCTGGCTTTCCCAAGATAAAAGAATCAGACAATGGTTTTCAAAATGCCTCTGCCGCTGGAAAAAGTTTGTACTTGCTACAAAACGACAGCTGGGCCGGATTTTTGTTGACCTTTTGGTCTTGGACTCTCATTTGAATGGAAAGAACAGCTACCTGTAGAATTTTGTACCGAGTAGCCTATCAGAAACGCTAGGTGTGGAAGCCCCCGCCCCGCCCCGCCCCGCCCCGCCCCGCCCCGGGCTTCACTTGTTAAATGGCTTTGTAATGATGCAAATGACTACACTCTCAGAAATTCGGAGACTATATATCAAGAGTTGTCGTGAGAATTTAGAGAGATCATGTAAAAGGGCACACAGATGATTCTCTGCAAGTATAACTTCCTTCCCCCCAACAGCACTGACCCCTTACATGTATCCACTGCCCCCTGGCTCTTTTGCCACACGCTGTAAACGAGTTGTCATACGAAACTTTGGAGAACAACCTAGAAAAAGGTATGATCACCCCGTTTTAATGCTAGGTTCACTTGTGGCCTACGGGATTCTGAGATTTCCTTAAAGTTGATTTTGCCAATGTAAGAAATAGGATCAACCCGGGTCCCTCCCTTCCCCCTTCCCCCATCCCCCATCTTCTGACCGCAGTCAAGGCAACTTGCCGGTCCCCGACCCCCGACACCGCGCAACATCCAGGCTCCCCTTACTTGTGCATGTATTTTCGCGCTTCCTTCTCGTCATAAAACTGAGGGGGGAAAAAAAACAGAAAAGGTAAGGTATCGAGAAGCAGAGATCGTGGGAAAAGTAAAAAGTGATGCCGGCGGGACTCAGGGCCTCACCAGCTCCGGCGGGCCGCCGTGCTCCGGTCTCCGCACACGTGCCGCCATCCTACCACCTTAGCAGCACGACTGCAGTTGGTTTAGCCCGGAACCCAGCTTTTATATCATCGGTCACGCGACTGCCTCCTAATACACATGCTCCACTCTTTTCCCCGCCTTCCTCTTTACTCGATTGGCTATAGGGCTGACGCGCTGCGAAAAACGTTTGTCTCCCATAGGCTAGTTCATCTTGCACCGCCCATGGACGTATTCAAGATGGCAGCCAAGCACGATTTGAGGTGGCCGAGATTGTTACTGTGGAGATTATGGCGTGCCCTTGGGACCCCACAGAAGCCGGGATCCGACCTGGGTTTAGAAGTAAGGACTTACTGCCTGAGCAACGGGCCATACTCGCGCACTGCGCTCTATGAGCTGCTCGGCGTTCCCTCCACAGCCACGCAGGCGCAAATCAAGGAGGCCTACTACCGGCAGAGCTTCCTCTATCACCCGGATCGCAACTCGGGGAGCACAGAGGCTGCCGAGCGCTTCACGCGCATCTCCCAGGCCTATGTGGTGCTGGGCAGTGCCACCCTGCGTCGCAAGTATGACCGCGGCCTGCTCAGCGACGAGGACCTGCGCGGACCTGGAGTCCGGCCCCCCAGGACGCCGGCGGCCGACCCTGGCACGCCCCGCACCCCTCCGACGGACGCTCGGGCCGGGGCCCGTTCTCGGACCGCGTCGGGCGCCAACCGCACCATGTTCAACTTTGACGCCTTCTACCAGGCGCACTACGGAGAACAGCTTGAGCGCGAACGGCGCCTGAGGGCCCGGCGGGAGGCCCTTCGCAAGCAGCAGGAGAACCGGGCCAAGAAGGACTTCCAGTGGGACGAGACCCGAGATGCCACTTTAGTCGTCCTTCTCGTCACAATCTTCCTCATCATAAGCTTCCGTTTGTAGTTGGAGAGAGGAGGAAAGGGGAGCAGCCCCCAGCCAACCCCAAGAAAATAGCCTTTCCTGTCTTCTTGAACCCTTTGTCTTCCGTTTTCTACCTCAGCTGGGGTCCGAAGGAACTGTTCTCCCCCTTCCTTTTCCCCATCCACCTTGCTTAGTCGTTCACCTGCATGTCCCTCCCCTACGACCCAGAAAAGGATACTGAATGCCCAAGAAGAGGCCCCAAGATGGAAAGTCCCAAAAGCCCAGAATGAAGGGTTTTCTGGAGTCCCTTGGGCGCCTGCTTCCAGAGGTTGCCTTCCTGTGGTTGTCAACTTCTGGAACCCTTGCTCTGGCTTTATTGTAAAGCTCTGAGCAAGCACTGTCTGCTCCCCCGACGTTTGTACTGTGGGGCTCCTCTGTAACCTTGAAACGTGCAATGTGACCAATCGGCTGCCAAAAGAAAAATTCTGGGGTTGCATGAACTTTGTCTTTCTGTGAGTTCCCCAAGCCACAGGTGAGACCTGACATAGGGTAAGAATTTGATGTGTGGAAACCTTGACATTTTTTTATGGTCAGCCCCAGAACCCAGTCCCTATTCTGTTGATGGCATGTGGGAATGGGAAAACAAGGTTATGGAGCATAAGGAGTAAGTGTTCCTGTGCCCACGCTTATCTAATATATGACCTTGGAGGAGTACCTTCAGGCATGACAGCAGAGGAGCAAATCATTTGCCCTCTTGAGGTCTGTCATACTTTATTATCCATAGTTCTAGTGGGGGCTCAGTGATTTAAAACGATGCTAATAGAGTCAGGTTTATCCTTGGGACAGTGTGCCTGCCATTTCGTCATCCCTTTACCAGCCAGTCCCATGACTAACTGCAGCTTATCCTCTCCCAGAAATAGAGCATCAAACTGGGAGTTTGAGTCTCTTGAATGTGGCCCACCCTTCTGTTTAGTTTGCAGTGTTTATCACAGGCCCCACAAGCCAAGTCCTTGAAAAACAGCTACTTGAGGCTATGGGGAATTTGGGGGGTTTAGAGGGACTACTGAGAGACAGGAGGTGCATGGTGGAAACTGGGTTCATTAGAGCTGGCTGAGGTTTTTGTTTTCTTTTTATAATTCTGCTAGGCAGTGAGTCATCACTCAACTAGAGTTGTAGTCAGGCTCTTTTAACCCCCAGTCACTGCAGGTGCCATGTAAGTTGTGAGGTGGTAGGTGCTGGAGCATTTATGCGCTGGGGCTGAATGTAGAGCTGTGGGATAGGAAAACCTTTCCCAAAGATCTGGCACAAGGTTTAGGACCTAAGTCTAGGTTCTAAACAAAGCCAGAGGTGCTTTGGTATATTAATACCAATTCCTGTACTCAATCTTTGTGAAATTCTTTTATAAATTGGGATAAACCCACAGCTAGTTCAACTTGGCCTCTTGGAAACAATGGATTCTCTCTTGCCTTGGAGGTCAAGGGCAACCTCTTAGTCTTGGCTTTGCAGTGGCCACAGGATTCAGCAATAAAGATTAGAGCCCACTCTTGTTCAGGCCTGCTGGGCTAAGTGAGACTTGATTTGTGGGGAGGAGGCATATGTACTTTAAAATAAAACATTTAATGTTGTATTTCATATTTGGCAAACGAGGGAAAGTATTTCTGAAACACAAACTACAGGAAGTGAAGCTTAGTAAAATGTACAGAAGTATGGTTCTCAACAGGAGTTGGGTCATAACAGTGTCCTCGGCAAGATTCTATCAAAGTTTTTATCAAAAGGAATTGGGGTTCTTTTAGTTTTTGTGTGTAAAAGCACTAATGGTCTGTAATAGCTGTGACCTTTCTTAGGGGCTCATGGACATAGACCTCTCAAGTTTGTATTCTTTTGAAGATCTAAGCCAAGAACATTCCCTGGTGCCTCAGAACAAGGTGGTAGATAAAGAGTTCCAGAAGGTTTCAGGGGTCTGGGGGTGGGAGTCAGACTGCGTGTAACTTCTGGAACATTCCGTAACTTTAGCAGGATAGTCAATAAAGCACATTAACCATCTAACTCTAAGCCTCTCCTTAGGCCTTGAACTAGACCCACTCCACTCTTACTTACAGTGCCATCCTACCTGCCTCACGTCTTTTAGGACAGAGCTGAACTCTTGACACCCCACTCCCTACCCCCCTCCCTGAAAGAGTGGGCTCTTCTTGGAAGGGAAGATTTGTGAGAGGCTTTTGGAAGGACCCCTCACCCACAACTGGTTCTCATGGTATTTCTCCCTTTGCCCTCACCCCCACCCCCAAGATCATCCCAGGTCTTTACTTTCCCAGCTTGTCACCTGCCCTGGGGAAGAGAGGCTGATCCAGGCTGTGGGCGTTAGCCCTTATTTTCTAGGGGCTGCTCCCCAATTCTTAATAGTGGAGGAAGGCTCACACATGCTGTTTTAGTTCATTTTTTCCTTTTGGTCACAAACTAAAACAAAACTCTAGAAGGTTGGACCAGGAGATGGATATGAGGGGCCCAGCTTGTCCCCAGCAGTGCTCATTGTGGTGGGGATGGCGGTGCAAGTACAGTGCCAGGCTGAGTGAACCATGTACACAGGTCCTAAAATGGACAAAGGAATCAAATGTGTACATGTCTAGACAGTTGCAATACTGTCTTGGACTAGATCAGATCGCCTTTATTCCTCCTGAGTCAAAACTGCTGTTTCTCTCCATTGCCCTTTATCTGTTACTAGGTGAAATGATCCTTTGTAGACTGCAGTGCTGAGAGAGTAGGGTTTCTTGCTCCCTTCTGAGGTTCTGGCATTTCGTTCACCGGGTGCACCTTGCCCTCTGTACTGGTCGCAGCATGAGCCAAGATGAGTAAGAATAGCCTACCTTAGACCAGTGTGTTGTAATCATATATATAGTAATTATATATAGCCTGAGGCTGAGACACCATGGGTGGAGCCCAAGTGAGTGGCTACCACACTGTCTTTTGGGAAAATGGCAGGGGACAAGGGCCTCTTGCAAAAACACCAGATCCCATAAAGAGTGAGAGGACAGCTGGTAAGTGGCGGTGTTACTTAAGTCCACTCTTTTGAGTTCATTGCACTAGGAAAGTGGCATCTATCCTGGCTTTTGCCCCTTCTGTTCCTTAGCCTTGTGATGGGGTGTCACACTGCCACCTGCCATAAGCAAAATCCTAGGAGAAGGCCCACCTTACCTGCCTTCAGCAGCTTGTCTCTCACGCCTGGCTTGTTTACAGAAGCTGAGGGTCCCTCTGTTAGTGTGTGAGGAGGATAGTGAGACCTGAGTGTGGACAGTATGAGCTTGAATATACCGAGAGCATTCAGTGCTCTCATCCCCAAGAAACTAGTGCAGAGAGTTCACGCTCACTGTATCAGGAGGTCATCGGGTCTCTGGATGCAGCCATCTCACTGTTTCTGAAGGCTGTCCAAACACAGTTTTCACTAGTGGAGAGGTGGGTTGGCCCTCCCAACCCCACCTTTGCCCCTCCCACATTCATGCCCTCAGTCCTGGGAGGGGACCGCTGCTAGACAGAAGGCTGCCTTCAGGAGGCCCAAGAACAGACCAAGATTCATGGTTCATGGGCCACAGCCAACCTACATGGTGTTTGGCTGTGGCTAGCATGGTGTCTTTAAATAACTCAAAAAAGTTTTGGAGACTTTGTGTAAAAATCTAGATTTCAGACTTCTCTCAGAAAATGAGAAAATGTGCTTCCATTGAGCTCACTCATACCTGCATCACCACCTGGGAGAAGCTGTAGCGTCTGCCGTTTATAATAGAACATTGCTCCCCAGTTTGCTGTACTCCCACCAACAGGGGAAATGTAAAAGGTCTCGATCAATACACTTGCTCCCTTTTGCCCAGAGCAGAGAAATACCTCTCTGTATCCCATGTCCATCAAGAGGGAAAACAAAAAAAAAGGACTATGCATTTCCAGAAAAGTGAGGGAGGCTGGCTTTTTTTGTGGGAATGGACTGCTTTGCACCTCTGTGACCTTCCTGGACTCCACAGGCATTTGAGTATGCAGAACTCTACGCTATATATCACATGTTGTTACATGACTCACACTTTATGCAGGGAGGGAGAGTGTGAATCTCATTTTTATTGTGGGACAAGAGAAATCTACATCAGTGGCAAGGTCCTAGACAAAGGAAAGCCAGAGTTCCTTTGGTACAGTAATGCCAATTCCTGTACTCTCACCTTGTGTAAAATCCTTGTATAAAGGGATAAACCCACAGCTAGTCCAAGTTTGTCTCTTGGAAACCATTTGATTGTAGCCTTGGAGGTCAGGAGCAGTCTATAGCCATGGCTTTGCAGTGACCACAGATTCAATGATAAAGATGGGAGCCCACACTAGTTTAGGCCTCCTGAGCTCAGTAAGCCTTGATTTAGGGGGGGAGGGACATATGTACTTTTTAAAATAACATTTTGTTTAAAATAATATTATGTTTAAAATATATATGTTAAAAAAATAGATATAAAATATATATGTTTAAAACATAATGTTTAAAATAACATATGTTTCATGTTCGGAAAACAAGGGGGAAGCTTAGGAAAATACTCAGAAGCTAGTGATTCCCAAACAAGGAGGTGTACATAACACTGTCTGGAGGGGCAGGAACTCCTTGTTTTTATCAAAAAGGAGCAGTTTTGTTACATGGGCAACTTTATAGTTTTGGTTTATAAAAGCGCTGGTGTCTAATTGGTGGGAACTTTCTCATAGGCCCCTTGTTCTTCCTCACAGAGATTACCATCAGGAACATTCTCTAGGGCCCAGAACCTGGAAAAATAAAGTTGCAGAAGTTGGCAGGCAGAAGGTCCAGAACTGCCTGGAACCCTCCAGAACATTCTATGTGCCTTCAATCAGAGGGTTAATGGAGTTCATTAACCATCCAACTCTAAGCTAACCATGGCCCAGAAGTGGGCCCACTCCACTCTAGTGGTCTTTGTACCCACCTGCTTCAAGAGTTTTTTCATGCTGGACCTGAACACTAAGGGGCCTCATTCCCTCCCCACTCTAAAACTGAGTCTGAGTTCCTAAAGGTGAGGAGGGTGGAAGGCCTTTTGAAGGACCTCCATCTGGTTACCATGAAAATACTCTTCTCCCCTCCTATTCTCTCCCTTGCTCAGATCATTGCTTTCTCTTCTCACCTGCACTGGGGAGGGGAGACTGAACCAGGCTGTGGACATTAGACTCTGCCTTCTAGAGGATGCTCCCCAATTCATGGTAGTGGAGGAAACTCAGACATGCCCAATCTTAGCTCCTGTTCTCCTTTGGGAGAAAACTCCCTGGAAGCCTGGGCTAGGAGTAAGAGGCCAGGATACCAGGAGCCCAGCCTGCCCCCAGGCTGTGCTCAGACTGTGGGCAGTTGCCAACATTCAGTCTTCTGTCTTCTCAGGCAGGCACATGTGGTTCCAATGTCCCTGAGCTTCCAGCAGCTCGAGTGCCAGCAGTAGGAAAAGTGAGGACTGCAGGAACGAACACGAAGGCCAGTGTCACATGGCAGTTCTCAAGTGGACACTGTCAGCGCTTTGACTGCACCCCTACCCAGGGTAAATCAGACTGGACTTGAAGGACTCTCAAAAGCTCAAATGGGCCAGTCCCTCCAATCATTGCCTAAATCTCTAAGGAACCCATCAAGCAGTACCTCAGGCCTTGCTTGCACAGCTTTAGGACTAGGGACCATCTACCTGCAGCAGCAACCCTGACTTAAAAGCCTCATACTGAGCGCAAACCTGGCAGTCTGTGATTTCCACCCATTGGTCTTGACTCTGATGACTGGCTCTGCATGACCTCTGGCTATACATCTCTAGCCTTTAGAGATTCAAAGGCTAAATATTACACATGTATTTCAAACAGATCCCTCAACTGTTCCTCATGGGACTTATTCACAATCCTCTTTTTCTTCATTACTCCAAAGGTGCTGGTTTGGGGGATCCCACTTACAGTGTTGAGCCAACCCAATACTTCCCTCTTCTTGCTGGTTGTTGATCCTTGTTAACATGGCTCAAGATCACATTAGCTTCTACAGCACTCTGATTGTCCCCTCTTAACTTGCAGGACCTCCCATGCCTCCCTGCCAAACTTCATCTTGTTAGACTTGACCGAAGCCAATCCTGTTCTCCAAACTTTGTGTCCCAAGCTCAACAGCCAAGCTTGCCGCCTAGTATTTACCCAATATACCCCCACCATCGTTTGATGGGGGTGGTTACTTGGCAGGCCAGAAAGGAGCAGGTGCCATCCTGACTGGGTTTATAGCAATCCAGGAAAAGAAGGTGTGTACAGGTGAGGTAGTTGAACAGTGATGGAACAGAGTGCACTTCTGCCCAGAAGTACTGGGAAGTTAAGAGTTAGGAAAGACTCCCAGGGGTTGGTAATCAGAGAAGGCTTCATGGAAGAGGCAGCAGTGCTGGACCTGAAGGACAGCTGGGCTTTGGATGGGCAGAGAGGAAGGGAGGGCGTCTCAAGAGTAGGAAGCGCAGGAGTGAGATGTGGAGGCTGTGACCGCAGAGTGGCCGGCTGCGTGGGCAGAGAGGAGTCGGCAGCATCATCATCCTCATCACATTTATTGACGGCCCCTGGGAGGTGGGGCTGGGGACAGAACATACAAAGACAAGGACCTGCCCTCAAAAAGGTTCCATTCTAGGGAGATGGGGACAGAAAAATACAGAACGGTCTTTCCTGGGGATGGCCCACTCTCACCTGTGCAGGTCAGAAGCCCTGGCCTACCTTGCCCCAGAGTCTGGAGCATGAATGGGGCACGTAGTAACCCCACAGCCACGGAGTCCCTGGCCCCACAGCTGGAGCCTGACCACCTGGCTCCCAGGCCGTGGGCCCCAGAATTGGGGTAAAGGTAAGCTCAGGACATGATGAAAAACACTCCTGTCAGCCTTGGCATTGTGTGAGCCCAGTGGAGTGGTGGGGTGCAACAGACCCCGTAGGCAGGGCCCCTTGGGGGAGGCAGACACCTTCCCAGGACCCCAAGAGTAAAGTTCTTTCATTGGGGCTGGCCCATCACCTGGGAGGCCCTGGGGAGAAAAAAGGCAGAGTTT